TTCGAACAAAAATTTTATTAATTATTTAAAATAATAAATTTATGAATAAATACTTCTTCCACTGTTTACGTTTGCAAAACGTTCAATATCTTGACCGTTGTGCAAGTCGAACAATAAAAGAAGTTGCAAGGAAAACCGACGCGGAAAGCTAAAATTTCTACGACAATTATATTAAAGCTTAAACTAACTACAAAACTCTATATGAGACACAATTTCGATTATATAAAAGTAAGCTAAAAAGTTTAAACAAATATGTATCCCATATAGAATTTTACTTATCCCACTTAAATTAACTACCCTAAACCATGCATGCACAGATACTAACGCATCTTACATACCTAAACATCAACTATATCTAAGCTTAGATTTAAATAAGCAATTTAAAAATATCACAAAATGACACAACACAACAACAACAACAACAACAACAACAATACAATACTTAATTAAATCTAATAGCCTAACATATTTACAAAAGAATTTAATAATTTTTATTCATTCTATTTATGTAAATACATAAATATAATTTTAAAAAATAAAGTTAACGCTATTTCCCTCCGATGATTTCACAATTTCTTGTATTATATGAAGTCTTCTTCGATCGATTCTATAATTTGAACCTGAAACAAAACTGAGAAACTGAAAAAGATTAGTAAAATCTGTAAAATATAACTATTGTTTACAATCGGATGAAACATGATTTTGTTGTAACAATTTTTTCCTCTTATATTAGTCACTTTTTTCGATTTATATTCCACCTTTCTAAACCTTTAATGTATAAATCTCTGTAAATTTTATGTAACTAATACTCTGTGTAAGTTAATGTATCTGAAACAAACTTATATATTGGATTAGTATTACAATTTAAATAAAAAGACAAAATAAAAAGATCTGTAATGAAAATCATATTCTTATTACACACACAAAAAATCAGGTTACTCTCAAGATATTATGTCACAATTATATTTTATTAACTAATAAACTAGGATCGACACATACGAAATTTGAATATTTATAAAATTCTATTTTGTTATTTAAAACATTTAGAATAGAGAAAATAAGGAAAACTGACAAGAAAATAACTCTGATAACGAACAATCACGATTATTGACTCCAATAACAATAAATTGGATATTAAGTCATATTTTAAACTAAGCTAATGTGTAAATATATCAAATTTATAATAAAATTTGACAAAGTTATAGGTAAAAAAAATGTATATTTTTTAGCAGTATTTTCAGTAATGAACGCAATGGTGAGGGGTGCTGAAAAAGAAAACCTAACACAGTAACCAGAAGGGCTACTGACAAAGAAAATCTAAATTAATAGCCCGAAAGGCTATTAAAAAAACATTTCCTACTTAATACAATAACCAGAAGAGCTATTGTGAAATCTACATTCGATATGAATCCGAATAGCAAACCGTATCCTGTTTCGCAACACTAACTTACTGCTACTTAGTACTACTACTTATTAAATGGGAAATTTTCAAAATCAAACGCGAAGAGTGCTTTGTCATATTTAAAACTCCCGAAAATAACTGCCGACGCAACACTATTAATCTATGCACTCGTCTTCAGAAATACACAATACTAATTGCGACGCGTCCAGTGCAACCATGCTACAGGTTGAATGACCACGTCTGTACAGCTGTTATAACTGTATCAGGTGATCCAGGAGCAGACTTCCACGAATCTAGTGGAAGAGTTTGGGCATTTTGTAAACGCAACGCTACTTTAAAAAACGCGATCATTCATTATCGCAACACTAACAAGAGAAAAAAATAATTGAAAATCGCGATAAAATAATGTCGCAACACCAACTCTAAAATTGAATGAAAACTATTATTAATAATACAAAATAATACTATATAAACAAA